AGATCCGGCATCTGCTCCTTGACCGAGGCCAGAATTTCCTCCTGGGTCTTCACCCCTTGGGCTCCAGGTGCCGGTCCCGTCGATGCATTCTCTGCTGCTTCCGCGTCCCCGGCTCGCCGTCTTCTGCCCGACTCCGTCTTCCTTTGGATGATGGACCGGAAGGCCCGATTCATGTCGGCGATCAGTCGGTCCAGGTTCAGACGGGACATCCTCTCTCGGGTGGATGCCGCCAGGATCTCTCGAATCTCAGGGTCATCCACCGTGTCCATCTTGTGCCTTGCCGAAGGGCCACCGAGAAAGTCCAACTTGAGAGCCCTCTGATGGTCGTCTACTAAACCCTTCTTGTATCTCTTCACGAGCCCTTCCTTGAGATCCAGCAACAGAATCGGCTTCGGATGCAGTACTCGACTGTTGAGCATTCTCCCCGTCAAAGTTGATTTTTTGGCTCGGTGCCAGGTTCCCCTCAAGACGTTGCCACTCTTGGGAAAGGCATAAACACTAGTCCTTGAAGGGGTCAAATTCTGGAGGAGGACATCTGGAGGTAAATGGACGTATTTGACGGAATTGCTCGCATCCCCCAGGTCCAGATGGGGAACCCAAGTCACTTTGTCCACGGGAAGGACGAGGGAAACGGGACCGTCCGTGTCCGATTGCGAGGGTGAGGCAGCCATCGCGGGCAAGGTGACCGTTCGGAGAGTGGCACCTGAGAAGAAGGTGCTAGAGGAAGAGTCATGATCGTCTTCGTCGTCTTCGCGCTTTTCTTCTTCCTCCATATCGTGGATGCATTTGTGAACGGGGCGGATCCCGAACTTGCGTGTGAGATAGCGGACCACGTTCTTCATGCTCCATTGGGCGAAAGAGTCGTCCTTGCCGTGGCCGGAATGCTTCCGGGAAGGCTTGAGATCGTCGCAGTCTTCCATCCCGTCGTTACACTGTTTGTGGTGCTTCTTGAATGTTTGAGGTTTCCTTTCTGCGAGGTGTGGAGGGAGGGAGGACTCGTGAGCTTGGGACCAGTGTCTGAAGAGAAACGTGTGCGGTTTGCTGTAGGGATAGAAAATGAGCTTCGAAACCGGGGGCAAACCGTTCTGTAAATTCAATAGTGTCTTTGGGTCAGATTTCATCAGGGGAGCCAGTGAGGCCTTTGATTGTTTCTTCGATTGTTGGTCGTTTTCGTCTTGAGCCGATGAAGCGTCTTGGCTCCCTGGGGTAACAGATACCTGCGAAATCAGATAGAACTTGGGGTCCGCCGTGTCGACCGACTTATTGATTTCGAGACCTCTCATTTCCTTTTGCAACTCGTGACCGAACACCGAGGCGGTACCGTTTTGCCTTTTGCTACCGGACGGTTCAGTGGAATCTTTGTCGGCACGTCGTCGAAGGATCCCCTGGACGTCCTTTCGCCGGAGGAGGGGGAGGAGGAGCCCCCGAGGCAGGAGGACGAAGCCGCGCTTCTCCTGCGCCTCGTCGTCGTCGCTCTCGTCCTCGTGGTCCATGCGATGCGGGCATCCCTCGGCCACGCCGACGTCCGTGTCCGAGAACACGTCCACGTGGCCCACCTCGCAGTCGGAGTCGTCTTCCTCGTCCTCCTCGTCGTGGTGGTGGCGCGGGGGCCGTCGCTCTCCCTCGCCTGAACGACAGGAAATTCGAGCGAGCTGAATTCATGATCATTTTCACGACAAATCGTACTATAAGCGAGAAAAAGCATGAGTTCCATCATCAGGACTGCAGCTACGTTCAGAATTCTCCGGATGAGGCTGCAAATTGCAGCTGTTTATTATTTTAACAAGGAAGCTACGAAACTTGCCCTCTAGACTCAGCCAGATGCCACCTTTAGACACTCGCGAAATCCCAGTTAAACGTCCAAATCGCCTGAAGAAAAGCGAAAATTACAGAAATGACAAGAGGAATGCAGAATAATTAACTAATGTTATCGGGAGCATGTCGGATGAAGGTCCTTATCGGTGCTTCATATATTCCAAGTCTTCTTCCTTCGAAGATAGAGATGCCGTAGCACGTCGACGGTCAGGAGCAACTCTTCCATGCTTCCGCTCATGGAAACGGGATCGCGGGATCGAATGGACCTCGAACGAGCGTCCGGGTTCCATCGCACAGTAGAGACAGATCACGTGGCCTCGTGTTTCCTAGTTTCCTCGTGCGGAATGCCTCGTCGGTCGAGGATGCATTCAGTCCAGGCTAGGATGCTCGGTGTCGGAGACGTGCAACTGGGCAGAAGCGGAAGCGGGCGCCTGAGCATTTTCGACTTCGGAACGGGGCTCTCGGGCATCTTCGATTTCGGACGGGGGTGGGTGGACTTCGACTGGGGAGCGATCGTGTCCTCTCTCATTACGAACCGTTTTCAGTTCGAGACAGCGAACCCTTCCCCTGCCCCTTCCGCGCTCGATATTACATATACAAGAAAATTTAAGAGATTTGGAAACTGACCGGTTTTCGGCGATATGGACGAGGTGAAAAACGGAGGACTCGACGTCGACACGACGACGGTCTCGTTCTGTGGTGTCTCTCCATCTGGGTATTACGGAACCCAATTTTAAAAATCATAACGAATTCTGCCTCGTTTAGACGTTTCAAACGCAAAAAAAATTAAACTAATGCCAAGTGTAACATCCGTATTACCAGACTCATTTCCGGATGGAGGCGCTAAGATGGAGCAAATTTGACGACTGACGACGAGTAGGAAGACCGCCAGACGGCACAGCTTCTTCATTGGCTTTCATTCCGTCTCAACTTATCTGCAAAAAGTTTGACATTTGAAGTCTGGCATTTCGGGATGATCGGCGTCGGAAGACTCACTTCACGAGGAACGGGCACGCATGCAGAAATCGACGATCGAATTTGGGAAGCAGGGGGTCCATCCGAACGATCCTAGGCTCGACTGTTCCTGCTTCATGCCTGAAAGGTGACCGATTAGATTCTGTTCAGGCGAACCGAGATGCGATCTCTCCCACCGGAATCCACTGAATTCGAAAACCGTCAAACCGACGAAACCGCGTTCTGCGATGGAACTGATCTCGTTTGCAAGCGGCGATATGAAACTGTAAGCCGAAGGGAAAGGGGGAAGGGGTTCGAAGGGGAAAGAAACGAAAGGCTCCTATTTCTGGTCTGCACAGTGATTTTGGCGAGTGAATCCATTCCTTCACTTGCAATCCACATGTCATAGGTTCGGTGTCTGGCGTGGTATTCTCTCCGATGCGGCTTCGGACTCCCTTTTAAAAGCTGGTCCTTGCCCTCGGGCTTATTTAAAGCCCATCACACACATACCTTCAATGCGTTGAAACACCTTCATCTCATTGGACTAGCTACCGAAACAACACGTAAACAACGTGTACAATCTTCCCGATCGAGGAATCCATTTGGAAATGGATGTCAGAGCAGCGAGTGCAGCGTCCAACTGACTCTGAACGTCCATCCAACTTGACGTTCGAGTACTAACTGGGGTGGGTGGGGACTCATGATTGGGGGGCACGAGTCATGTGACCTGAATCACTCAACGAATCAGACGTCCTGACGGTGGAGGCTCTGGCCTGGCCGATAATATGAATCCTGAGATTGTACAGGCTAGGCTACTCTGCGAATAGGAGGAATCTTTGCTTGATGAGGCCAGGATTCTGTTATGGTCGGTCTATAGCGGCCCAACTGGTCGTTTTCTTCAGCATCCGGAGAGGAAATGGTGAAAAATGAAATTAAATCACATTCGGGTCACTTCTAAAGGACACCCCGATAAGGTCGGACATTCCTGGCATTTTATTGCACTTCTTCCATTGTGTGTGACGTGCGACGCGGATCCGAGCCAAGTTCCTGTCCGGGTATCTCTGAATTTTTACGATGAGAAAATTCAGAAGAAATTTTTTATGATTATGTGTCAGGATCGTGAATGTGCCACAACAGAGAAATTCCCACATGTGGCACCACTTGTGGCACGTTCCTCGGTGAAAATGACACCTTGTCGCTTATGGATGTGCCAAATTGAAGACTGGGGAATGAAGTTTGCACAAAAGGGCAATGACCTTTGCCCTCTTCGGAGCGATGAACGTTACACTTTTCATCAGTTTGCAGTTCCGACCGGTCACCATTTCTTCGCATCCTATCTCGAGACATTTGCGAAAGTTTTTTTTTGCAATTATTCCCTTTATAATATCCGCATTCCCCTTCCGTCGTGCCATTCGACATCATTCAGCATTCGAGTCTCACCTACCATTTATTACATTATTCTGCATTCGACTCGACGAAATCGGTTTTCCTCGAGTTTGTTTGCTTAACGTAAACTGACCTCTTGCGATGGTGCCCGGCGGGAATCGGTTTCGTTCAAAAATTGTAACTTCGCTCGATTCGTGACCGAGGAAACGAGATTCGGAAAAGTTCCTCGAGGGAAAGAGAAATAAATGGAATTTCGTCGCAACGAGAGGCAACACTCATCGTCATAAAACGAATTCTGCTCCTGTCGATGACGTTGGAGTCGGCTTCAAAATCAAATCTGATCATGTTCGAAGATAACGAAACGAGTCAAGAAGAGAAAAGTAAGTTTCGCAATGGTGACTGTCGAGGAGGAAATTATTTATAACTATATCACAAGCCGAACTGATAATTTCGCGGAAATTGTGTTTTTCACCTGTCAGACGATTTTTCGCTCGACTCGGACTCCTGTGCATGGGATGTTCCTCGTGCACGAGTGTGAGTCGACTGAAAACTTGTTCAACTCGAGTGAAAATTGCGATGGAATTTGCACCAACTGGAGTAAATGCTCCCAGCTTGGAAGCAGTGGATGGAATGGATGATCTGTATCGACCTTTGACCACGATCTGTATGTCCTTATCTCCTTCCACAGAAGCTGAATTAGAAAGGTGAGGGAATTCATCCGCATATCACAAGAGGGGTGACGTAACCTAAGTTGTTAGCGTTTGATATCGCCTGTTATCTTAAGTCCTGGATGATCTGGCTCCGCTGTGACGAGTGTTCTGTGTGGGAGAATCGAATATGCTCGGAGCGACGGGTCCTCAATGGCCGAATGCAGAGGCAGGCAGAAGTGAGCTCCCCGATGTGTGCTCGAGTTTGAGATGCTCTCCCGGCTTCGCGCTTCGCCTCGTGTGTCGGTATTAGATCGGTGGCCTTTCGTTTGCGCCCTGGTGTCTCTACTTTTTGCTTCCGCGGAGTGTTGAGGTCGCTCGAAGAGCTCTTTGGAGACTGAACTTCATACAAAGTTGACATAAGCTTAGTTAGCATGTCGTTCCGAGTGGTGCGGAGTAGCAAGTTCCGTCATGTTTATGGGACTGCCCTGAAACGTGAACAATGTTACGACAATATCAGAGTCTCCAAATCATCATGGGACTCCCCTTTCTGTGCTGTGAACCCAAAATTTGTCGCCATAATCGTGGAGAGTGCGGGTGGGGGAGCCTTCATTGTTCTGCCTCTCAAAATGGTAAGCCCAGTATATTTTGCTCAAAAATCATTGTTATTGGAACCTGGCCCCTTCAATTTGGGACACATTTTGCTATTCAGTTATTTGTTCAATGGAGGAAGGGTTACGTGTAATGTTTAATGTCTTGCGCACGCCACTACCCTTCAGGTTTAGCTAAATGCTCCTTATTTCACCTCGCTCATTCTTCATTCCTTCCATTCTGTTCCACCCCTGCCGACTCTCCACTCAGTACCACATCTCCGGTTCATTCTTGCTCTGTGAAGGGCTGTTTAGCTGAAAGTTTGCCGGGTGTGGTTGGTTAACCGTCCACGCGAAAAGTTGCCATATCGACTGTCTGCACGTCATTGTTGCGCCGAGTAAGCCAATCCGCGGAGGGTTGGCTTACTCGACGTTAGGCCTAGGCCTGAGTGATAGATTTAGCCTTAACTTAATTTAGAACTAAGTGAAAGTTTAAAGAGAAAATTGTTTGAAATCAGACCCTGCTAGGCCTGATTCGTGCATCCTGCATTTGGCCTAGTGGTAATCAGTAATTATGGAAGTCCATCGACTTCTTGCCTATGTATAGGGAGCAATTGCTTTATTGGTTTGCTTTATTATAGCTTTCCATCTCTGTATGTGGAAAATTGCCCTGAGTGCTGAGAGTTGTTTGGGTGACTGCTCTGAGGATGGTTAATTGCACTAAGCTCTCATTCATCAAAAGTAGGTGTCATCAAAGGAGGAGGAATTATGAGTCAGGTGACTTCCTGCTTGCCCCTTAAATCAGGACCAAGTCAGCATGGCCAATAGACAACCAAATAAGAATGTGGGAATGTCTTGTTAATTAAAATCATACCTTTATACGGGGACAGATGCCTAGGCCTATTCCACTTATAGTTGCTCAGTGGACACAGTTAACTGTATGCAGTGCATAGGGTTGCTCAGGTGACTGAACCTCCTGGGGATATTGTGATTCTCCTTAAGTTAGGCTAGGTTAGGTTAGGGGGGTGGGTGTGGTATGTATTATATATAATAAGAATCCCAATCAATTGAGATTCCAGGTGACTCTACTCATGCTCAGTTAACTGGACGCGTTTGGTTAACTGTAAGTGGAACAGGCCTATGCCTAAGGTATGACACTGTTGAAGCTGTTTGCTTGTTGCTCAAAAATTTTAGTTCTATTGTTAGATGATTGAGTAACCTTGTCTTAGTACTTAATAGTCATGAACAGAACTAAAAGCTTTTTGAGCAACTACCCAACATAATTCCATGATTCCATGCAGGTGAGCTACCGTAATTGAAATGGAGTAATTCCATGAAGTAATCTGTAATTAATTATTTCATATTGGCAGATATCCAAAGACAGCTTCATTGCTCATAGTGAGAGGCTAAGGCCTATTAACTTTTTCTTCCTTTTTTTTTATTTCCCGCTCCACTTTTGGATCCTGAAAATCAAGTATTTCATACAAAGAAGTGATTGGGCTGTTATCTCTGGTTAGATACACAAAGCTAATCTCCCCTTTATTCAGGGTAAAGTGTTCACAAAGAAGTCCTTCAGTATAAATTTCACAGCCCTTCCCATCGAACAAAATTAGGAATCTCGTACATTTGCTTTCATCTTGTTGCCTCTTTTGTTTTATTATTAATGTTATTAGTTTAAATATTTCCATTTATAATATATAGTAGGGCTGTCAATTTGACTAATTTAATCAATCAATTAAAATATTATTATATTATAAATTTATAAGTGGGAATATAGGCATTAAGGGGAGATTAGGGGGTCAATTAAAATTCAAATAATTTTTACTGAGTTTTTTAAATGATTAAATTAATTAAATTGACAACCCTACTTTATAGGTGTTGGGTGGGCTTGCCAATGCAGTTCATGCCATTGGTTCTTTGGCTTAAATGTGAAATCCACTTGACTGTTGAGTTTCTTTTTTAATGTCTATTCCTTTGGCCTAAATTCAGAACTATGTCATATAGCATATTTATATTGCCAATTGGGAGTATGTATAATGGCTTGCTGTTAACCCTTCAGACAGTTTTCATATACACCATACAATTGTCTCCTAGGAGGTCAGGTCAAAATGCAGTGCTTGAAAGGTTAATTAACTAATACTTTCCCATTCTATTCTTGTTATCTCTGCTCTCCTCATCTCCTTTCATATTTCCCCCTACCCCTCCCCATGCTGCTTTTCTTTTTCTTAGAGGATCTCTGCATTCATTCCAGGTAAGTTTTTTGGGGTCTTTGGAGTGTGAAGTAGGTTCTTCTAGAAAGTAATCATGAATAGACTCTAGATGTTGCTGACTTTTCATTTGTAGACATTAGATGGGCAACGGTTTTCTCCTGAGAATGGGAATCCAGGCTAGATATGTATGTCATTCTCCAGCGGCTTATCACAGGATTATCAGAGTTTATTGAAGAGATAACATGTTTACCCTAAACCAGACCTACTTCTGACTTGTGTGCTATGTGTGCTTTCATGCAACAGTGACCTAATTGAAATTCTGGAAAATTATTTCAGCTCTAAAAGGGAATTGTTGAACCCATAGTAATATCCCCTTTTTGTTTGCACTGAACTATTTCAAGTGCCATTATGATAAGAAAAGAACTCTGTAAAATAATGCTGAGGAACCTCTTGTTTTCATAGCTCCACTTATCCCATTCTGCAGTAGTTTTACCAGTAAGCACATATTGAAAATTCATAATTCTCCTTTCATTGAATGCTACAAGGTGTGATGAGCTCTGAGATATATATATATATATTGCCAGAAAGCAAAGCCATGAAGGGAAGTTGTGATTCATTCTGTGTCAAAGGTAGCAGGGGGAATCCCAATGGATACCAACATAGAGGGCTGGAAATTAGCCAGCATGCTTTGAGAGACGCACCTGGCCCTTTTTTTTTCCCATCCCCTTATGTTTCTCCCTCTTTCCCTCTCCTTCCTGGTGCTATAAATAGCTTTCACTGACATGCACTTACATTTCTTCTTCCTTTTTTGTACATTTTGATTCCACATTGCCTTTTGTAGGTGGGCTCTTTTCCTTCACGACTGTACTTGCTATTTTTAGCCTGTACTGGAACATGTGGCATATGTAATATGCTGTCAATTATAATAAATTTTGTCTTCTAAATCTGTTGACGATTTTAGAGTTTCTTCTATCTACGTCTGTTACGCATGCTGAGAGATTGATATTAGTTGCAGGGTTCAATGAACTTGCTATAGCAAGTCCCTGACTCATATTTTCTTGGAGGGACTCATATTTGCAAAACATTCAACTCATTGACAACCACCCAAACATGTTTCCACCGAGCTGAAGCTAGGTGCTGGGACTCAAGATGTAAAAAAGCTAAAATATGAATGAGTCGCAATTAGTGAAAGTTAGATATGGCATCCCTCATTGGACAAGCTGCTAAAGGAATGTCTTGTGCTCCTTTGGAACAAATCAGTAGGTTTTTTTTTTTAAGTTCATGAAATAATCAGTAGCCATGCCATGTGTTGCATCATTAACTATTGCAGTATTTTGTGATTTTTAGTCATTGCTGACATGATCTGATGCATGCCTGTATTAATACAGTTTAAGCTAATTATGTCATTGACCTACTTTTATTATGTTTTTGAATTTAATGTCCAAGCTCACTGTCATATTGCCCATTTTTTAGAAGTTAGGATGTCAGAGCAAGAACAAATTAATTTGTTTTATGAGTGTTCCTTTCATAATTCATTTGGACCATTTCAGGTTCCATTTCATTTGATGTTTCTACTTTTTTTTCCAGACTGGGAGAGTGAACCCAGATCACCCTCTGGTTGGAGGACACAAAGGTCCTGTGCTAGATATAGCTTGGTGTCCCCACAATGACAATGTTGTTGCCAGTGCCTCTGAAGATTGCCTAGTTAAGGTCTGGTTTTTGAATTTTCATTCTCCATTTGGTTCATCAAGGTTAGCAATGTATTATACATGGTAATTCATAAAGAAGGTAACACTTTCACATTTTTTTATAGTGAAGTAACCAGTGAGCCTATGATGATGTGATGTGTATCAATTGTTAGGAAACTCTCAGAGTTTGTAATTGACATGAGAAAGTGTTTTGCGCTTGTGCTGCCAGGGGAGACTGTGTTGCAAAAATGGCAACTCCACAACAAAATTCTCGAATTTGGTTCGCATTCTCTTCCGATACACAAGGTCAACCCGTGCTTTTCCCTTTGCAGATACAACCTTTATCTTCAAACTGCTGACACCAACTGTAAATGGTCTTCCTTGCTGGTGGATCAATTCCGAAATGTGTGTGGAACAGCCGTTGCACAGTTGTTAGAGTTGGTCTTTGAAAACTTCAGGACACAGAATGCCTTTTGTTATGGAGTTGCCATTTTTGCAACACAGTCTTCCCTGGCAGTGCAAGTACGAAACACTTTTCCGCATCAATTACAAACAAACTTTGAGAGTTTTCCTAAAAATTGACACATATCACGTCATTGTAGGCTCACTGGTTACTTCTTTATAAACATGTGAGTGTTACCTTCTTTTTGAATTACCCTGTGGTATTATTGGAGTTCAAGATAAAAGATATATATATTTGTGAACATTGAAGATGTGTTCTGGCATTACATCATCACCTTGAAAAATGTGATAGGTATGGCAAATACCAGACCGTGGCCTGTCGCGGACCCTCACCGACAAGGATTCAATTGTCGACCTCCTTTTCCATCAGCGGAGAGTGGGACTAGTCATCTGGCACCCCTCTGCTCAGAACATCCTCCTCAGTGCAGGTAAAAAAACTTCTAATACTGCCTCTGGTCATATCTTGATTGTCAGTGAAGAAGTTATCTCTAGTCACTGTTGCTGTCACTAGGTAAATTTAAATTATGGGTGTTTTGATGGTGACTTTTGTGATTTGCAGGAAGTGACAACTTGATCGTGATATGGAATGTTGGGACGGGGGAGGCTCTGAAAGTTCACGATTGTCACCCAGATCTTATCTATTCTGCTTCTTGGAACTGGATCGGGACAAAGGTTTTGACAACATGCCGGGACAAGAAGATTAGGATCATTGATCCCAGAACAGGGGATGTGGAAGAGGTACTGGTACTTATTCTTGGGTTGGAATTAGGACATACAACAGGGAACAATTCTTTTCTGTTTTATTTTCACAGGAAGCCTTATGTCATGAGGGGTCGAAGGCAGCTCGAGCGATCTACCTTAAGAATGGACTCGTCTTCACCACAGGCTTCAACAAGATGAGTGAACGGCAGTATTCCCTGAGGGCTCCTGATCACCTCCATGATCCCATTGTCATGGTGGAGCTGGACACCTCAAATGGGATCATGTTCCCTTTCTATGACCCTGACACCAACCTCATCTACCTATGTGGCAAGGTTCGTGTCATGCCTTCTGTTTTTTTTTAATCTCTGTGTTTGTCTGGGAACATGCCTTCATCTCTGTTGTTCATTAATTGAACTCATAAATGACCTATTCCTTTTTTGTCAGTCTTCAGGTGATGGTAACTGTTCAAGGCTTTCATATTTTCCAGGGTGATAGTGTGATTCGTTACTTTGAGATCACGCCAGAGCCACCATTTGTACATTACATCAACACGTTCCAAACCCCAGACCCACAACGAGGGATTGGGATGATGCCTAAGCGGGGCTGTGATATCAGCTCATGTGAGATCGACCGCTTCTATCGTCTTAACAACTCTGGCCATTGCCAAGTGATTTCATTCACCGTCCCACGCAAGGTTCTCCATTGTTGAGCCTGTCATTGATGCATGAGGGTGTCACTGAAATTCCTTTGTTGAATAAAATGTTTCCATTACAGTCAGAGCTCTTCCAGGAAGACCTCTACCCTGATACCCAGGGGGATATACCAGCCATTTCAGCTGATGAGTGGATGAGTGGGAAGGATGCAGAGCCAGTGCTTGTGTCACTGAAGAGTGGTCATGTGCCCAGCACCAAGAAAGAAGCCCTCCAGGTTACCAAGAAAAAGCCAAATGTGCTTGATAAAATGCCCTCCAGATCCAGTGCGGCTAGCTCTGGGGACTCTGAAGAAGTCCCTGTTCAACCTGCTGTACCTGCTGTCACTGTGAGTTTTGTTCTATTTTCCAAGAGTGGCAGGTGATCTGGATCATGTGTGAAAATGAATTTAGTATTATCACTGTCCCTGACTCTGAGCAATTTCAAATCTGATATCAGGAGAAGCAGTTCAAGGATGTGACGAACGAGATCAAGAAGCTAAAGGCCGTGATCGTGAAGCACGAGAATCGGATACGTTCCCTGGAGGCCAAGCTCACTGAGGTTCTTGCCCTCCTCAACCCTGATCCCAACGAAAACAACAACAATGAGCCTGAGGATCTTGCATCCACAGATCTTCCACCCAAGTCACCCCTGTCATCCCACATGATGAACAGCAAGTCGTCACATCACCCAGATGCTGACATGGCACCTGACGAGGTCTAGGCAGCTGCCTGTGGCACATGATATCTTTTGTTGTCATCTCTGTTTTTTTTTGCCGTAATTGTGAGGGTTCAGCACATTGTCGTAACTCTCAGCTCGTGTTGGTGCCCGTCTCTCCACTAACTCACGCAATGCAGCCATTTATTTTTTACTTGCCTGGTCACCATTGTGACTGCAATGTGGGATTTTTCTTGTTCCTGACAGAGCGGCCATGTTCCCACGAGTATTAAAGAGTTGGATTTTGTTGGCAGCTATGATCTGAACTTTTGAAAAGTTCATGTTTGATAGAGTTGAATCAAAGAAAGTTGGACAACTTGTGCCTGTTGACACCTGCTTCATCTGATAGCAGAGAGATTTTTTATTCTTTAGCTGTTTCAAGAAAGTATTTTCTAGGTGATCGTGCTCAACAATTAATTGACATTAGCTTTTGTGACTTTGTTGGACTGGAGGTGCCAAAGCTTTGGATGTTGTGTTCCTTCTCTTCCCTGATCGTGTTCTCTTGATATTGTGATTTCGCATCTATCATCTCCACTACACCCATCCGTGATGGGACTAATTATTCTAGTATATTGCTTTCACAAAATTTTCGCTCCCTTGATTGTGCTTCCTATGTTTCTTTGGGACTCTTCCACACTCAGCAGCATCAATTTGCAGATTTTGGCATCTGTCCTCCCTCACCAGACTCCCACCGACGTCATCACGAATGCATTGGAGATTCTCTGAATCAGTTTTATTCTCTTTGTTGTTATTTTTTCACCCCTCCATTTGTTGAAAGGAGGTGCGAGATGGTGCTCTTGATTTTATCCTGTGGCTTTTCATGTTTTATTTATGGTGTGATTGCTGCTGACTTGTTAGTGTGCGGTCGTGTGAGAAGATCAGCTTCGGCCTTCCATCTTTACTCCTTCCCTCATTTTAACATCATGTTTATGAATTCATTTAAGTCGTATCATCTCAGAAATTTCATTGTGATTGGATCCTAAAAGTGAAACACTGTCTGTGCTTCCAATAGGTGCCTTCCCTCGTCAGTGGCCATCCTATTCTGTGCCTTCAATGCTGATTCTGACTCACCGAAGTGCATTTTGGTGGGAATAGATAATGCTCATTCTCCATATTTTCAGTATATCTACCTCTTTGTAGAACAAAAGAAAGTATTCATTGTAAAGAAGGGAAAATTAGCGATATTGTCTGTCTATCTGGAACCTGCTCAGTGCTCATCCATGAGAACATATCAGGCTGAGGAAACTCCCTTAAAGATGGAATCAAGCAACTCTGTCCAATTTTTTTGTTTCTGGGAAATCAGACAACATAGAAATAAACAGCTTCTACCGAAGGCCATTTTTCTCTTGCAAAGCCCCAGAGTGAGAGTTGCATGGCAATTTGACTCATTTAGTTGCAAATTTTATCAGATACTGGCTGCTCATGCTGTCCATGAGACAGCAAGGCCTTCATCAAGGCTATAGAGAGCAACTGTATTGGATCACTGTTTGCAATTCTTTTGATTTGGCCTGTAGTGAGTTGGTGTATGCATTTTGATGCCAAAAGTAGCTTTGGTAAAGTACCTTCAATCATAGCCCATGATGAGGTATTGAAATGTGTTCTTTTGCTTCTGTTTGCAAACTTCAATTTTTTATTGTTAAAACTTATTGAATAATGTAATTATTTAAGTTTGATATTAGTAGCCAATGTACAGCTGGGGTGCTTCTTGAATTGCTGAGACGTAGAGGCTAAAATGCCCCAACTGAATCAAAGTAGAGGCTGGTGCCAATTTTCTCTGTCAAAGTTTTTTTTGGAAATAGTCTTTTTCATTTGAAGGCCTATTCGTATCTGACTTGGTGCTTTTCTTCAGATGCTGTGATACTTATGAAAGTGGCCATGTCAGTGGCAGTGGTGACATTCCAGCGGATGAGGAGGGAAGAGAAGGAGTTGAAGGAAGTTGCTGCACCATACCGATCTGAGGTCTCACCTTATGCTCAGCAAGGAGGGGAATTCCCACCTGAAGTACGACAGTGGGTGAATTCGATCTGTCGATCCATCCCTAATCCCACCGTATCCCACACGTCTAAAGTCATCGTTTTGGGAGACATTGCTGTAGGGAAAACTTCTCTTGTCAACAGGTAACTTCCCCCTTTTTGGTCCACTTTGATAAGAATGTGCAAGGATTCCATGACTCTGTGGATTGCAGGTTTTGTTATGAGGTGTTTGACACTCAATACAAGGCAACCATTGGAGTTGACTTTGAGGTGGAGCGCTTCACGGTTCTAGGTGTTCCATTCCACATACAATTTTGGGATACAGCTGGAGCTGAGAGATTTCGTTGCATCGCTGCTTCCTACTATCGAGCTGCTCAGGGTGAGCTCTCTTTCTGGATATACTACTCCTCTTCCACTTAACTATACACTCAAATTCAAGGTTTTTTTTAAATTGCAATAAAATGTCTTATTTTCCTGTCATTTTTTCAATTTTTTAATTCTACAGGTAACATCTACAATACATTACTTAATAAAGGGACAACTTCTGATTAGCTTTTATTATTTGTTTTTGTATGGGGAACAGTTAAGTGGAACAAGAATAATTTAAAACTTTCTTTTTGTGGTTTATTTAGCATAGCCTGTCAATATTGGAAGAGTTCCATCATCTTGCATAAAAGTTTCCTGATTGTGCTGACAAAACTGAAAATTGAAAAAAAAAAGACTGTTTATTCACAGTAATTGTGGTGGTGTATGACATGACGGATCTCTTGACTCTGGAACACTGCCAGAAGTGGCTCAATGATGCCCTCGATGCCTCTTCTCCTTCCTCCTCTGCGAAGCCACTCGTGTTTCTTGTTGGCACCAAAATGGACTTGATGGTGAGGCCCAATTCCTCAGTGTTGCCATCTCTGTTGACCTGTTAGCAAATGACCATATCTCAAGTCAGCACATTTTTAACAATTTATTTTCCAGATCCTAATGTCAACATGGTCATAGCCACCAGTTATTGGGAGAATTTTCTATTATAACTATATGAAGTCAAAATTAGGGTGATTGTTTTTTTTTTTCCCCAGGTGAATGTGATTGTTCAATTTATAAGTGAACTTTTTTTGTTTTTGGAATGCAAATGAAGGAAAAAAGATGCATTGGAATGCTGAATGAGATATGGGGCAAACAGTGTTTTTCCCTTTTCCTTTATTTTTATTCTGCAATAGCTTCCCGTCCCCTATTTTGTCCCCCATTTCCAGTACATTAGAGAAAGTAGACTTTTCAAGCATGAAAGCTGAGACTCACCTACTCATCTGGGTTAAGTTTTTTTTACTTTGTTTTGTGCCATCAGCAGAGAGATGGTTCTTAAGATCAGATCACAGATTTCAGATAACCTGATAACCCTTAAGATAGCCTACAAGATTGATTTCTGTTAGGTTGTTTAATGACCAGGGAAGGGGCATCCAAGGACATAGACATTTTCATGATCTGGATTCCTCCCAAAAATAAAATTAAAAAACCTCTTCAATTTTGTGTCACCTTCCAACAATGCTAAGACTGCTTCTATCTCGTTGTCAGGTGAATTTGATTTTGTCTACTTCTTCCCTCCCAAGCTTTTTCATCTTGGAATGAGCCACCTAGATCTAACTCACCAGATTGGGTAAATACTCTAATAATAACTGCATCATGCTTTTTATTATTCATTTGGTGAAGTGCTAAGTTAGATGGTGCCTTCTTTACAAGTAGACATTCACATTACATGTTGGTGACATCAAGTTCTAGAGTGTACTTTCCATCTAATATCTATTAACTTTTGGCTGTCATGAAGTTTGGATTCCTTGAAATGAAGCAGGTGCCCATTATATATATTTCTCAGTTTTAGTCAATTAATTGCAGTTTCCCAAAGACTATCAATAAAACCTGTCATCCTTTATCTTTTTTGCAAGTGTAGGTACTGGTTGAGATTACATAAATATACATTTCAGGTTTATAAGAAATAAAGAGTCCATGGGGTAGAAGGGGAATGTGAGAATGGAAGTAATCCTTTTTCTAAAAAAGCAGTCTCCTCTTGGCAAAACATGCCATGGTTGTTTCCAATTCAGGCTTTCTTCTATTGGTCCAGTATCTTCTATGAACATTGTGCCCATCTCTAACTCTGTCACTTTCTCAGAAAAATTAGGTTAACAATTTGATGCTTGCATGCAGAGAGAATTTAAATTGCAGCCAGGGTGCTGTACTGTTGTTGGAATTGTTTGTTTGATATTCATCTTGAATATCAATAATTATGTGAATTGAAAAATTTGGATCATTCATGTCATGCAGGCAACTGAGGCAATTGGTGCAATTGAATCCAGGGTGACAGAAATGTGCGCCCTCTTGGGAGCCGAGATGTGGTCGGTGTCGGCCAAGACCGGAGAAAACATCTCACAGCTATTCTCCCGCATCGCCTCGTTGGCATTTCTGACCTATGTTCGTTCCGACACAGAAGAGCGTAAGAACTCTGCATCGGCAACCATTGGAAATCATTCCATCAGTGAGTCTCTTGTTTATGAGGGGCTGTTGAAATATGGGTCAATGAATGAAATTTCGCACTTGATCTGTGTTTAGATCTGTCCGAACTGGACAAGCAGAGACGAACATCACACTGCTCCTCGACATGCCTCAAAATCTGATGGTCACATTGGTTTCTTTTTTCTTGGTCAGAAAACCTAAATTTGTTGGGTTTAGAATTTATGGGTTTTTAGTTATTTTTATCTGTTTCGAAATTGGTTTTTTTACTTTAGCTGTACTGGCATTCTCATTTTTTATGCTTCCTCTCTAGAAAAAAGAATTATCCTTGGGGGTCTTCTTAATTATTCTCCAAATGATGCAAATGGAACTAGTCCAATACATTGCAGTCACTATATGCTAGTCAAAAGGGCATCCAGGATCTTGAGATTCTTATTTTTGTTTTTACAGTTATTTTTTTGGTTATTTTATCAATTGTTTTGATAGCACAGATCTGTTTTTGGCTATTCCATTCCTGTTGTCAGCCAGCAACTTGTTTCTGGTTGTTTTTGCTGTTTCAGCAATTCCATCAAACAGTTGTTGAGACCTGTGACAATATTTCTTATGCTTTTTTACTGTGAAACTTTTGACCTTTCTATTCACTGAGAATATATAAGTTGGGCATGCACCTACTACCTACCTTAGCATATGCACATCGTGCCTCTAACTTTGAATGCATTTCAAAGCATGTGTCCAAGTGCTCTTATAAACTTAGTGGTGGTTAGGGCCCTTGCCCTCATTCCATGACAGTCCAACCTGCACCTGTCCCTTTGGTCTTTCCCGAGATCTTCCACGGCCAGACGTCTCGCGAACGGCCACGGCATGCCTGCTCTGGCCACTTTTGTATGTGCTTTTTATATTTTTGCACTTTGAAATAAAGGCTCACCGATCGTACTGCTTCGTGATTTTTCCTCTGAACTGATTGAGGGCATCATTTATCCTAACCTCATTGTGGAATATCCATTCTTCTTGGTGTCACGAATGATGCCAGTGTATGGATTCGCTTAGGATTAACCATTGCAGTGCCACGCGGCCGATTTTTAGGCCACGTCTACTACTTCCAGAAATGCTTTTAGTCGATTTTTCGGCCACATCTACTACTTCCAGAAATGCTTTTAGTCGATTTTTATGCCATCTGACAAGAACCCTAACTATAAAATAAAATCGCCAATGTGTTGCACCTTCAAGACGGGAAACTTAATGCCGTTTGAAAAGAAGGGCGATGACGCCTTTCAAACCTAGAATGGTTTGGTCCAAGCTATAAAGGGGATTTGGATCTTCCCCCGCAATTCACGAGCCTGGGCCATCGTCCAGACGATGAGAGTGTGGGCGAGGCCACCGAATGGGATCGCGTGTTCGCCGTGTACGTACGCGGGCGCTACTTTATACGAACTGACTCCCAAGTAGATAAGTACCGGTGAGATTCGGAAGGACGAGGGTGTTCAGCAACAACAACAAGGGATGAATTGAATGTATACAACTCACTCATATAGTCTACAGGCACCAGCCAGGAGGGAAGAAGACAAGTCTTTGACGTATCCTGTACCAGTCATCCCCCGAAGTTACGTCGTAATTGGTTACAAGACGGCGACGTTAGTCCAGACAGTACGGCGTTGTAGTACTCGCAGTTGAGATACCAATTCATGGACGACGTAAGGGCAACGTAATACAACGTCGGTACGAATTGTGCGCTTGGCTTAATAGAGGGTGTCCCATAAGTCAAGCATCATGGCAAAATTCAGGTTTTGATTTCTGTTATTTTATTTTTGTTGCTTTGTTTTTTTTTTTTTTTTTCCTCCAGGATTTGAGTAGTGAAACTGATAGTGGAGATGTCAATAAGTACAGACAAATGTGTGGGATACAGTGAGAGGTTGCTGAGAGATTCAATCTGTATATTATATCTGTATTGGCAGCCAATAACACAAAGTTGAGGAACGTTCAAGGAGAATGGTAACATTGCTTGAGAAAACGCATTAAGAATAATGGCAAACATGTTGAACGTATGTTTTTCAGTGTCATTATAAAATGTGAATTTCCCTATGATGCTTGACTCATGGGACACCCTGTATATTGAGTCTGTGGTGGTAGGATGACTGTATTAAAGGATTCGCATTCGCATTGGCAAAATGCATCGACGCATTCCTACCAAGACGCAGAACGTCCATGGTCCAGCCCAGAGACAAGATTCGAAGAAGAAAAACACCTGGGAAAAATTCGACCCAACCGGAAGAAAGACCCTTCGCGCCGTAAGCGTCCAGCGGGCCAATCATGCGGACCCGCAGGCCTCCCAGGTAGATGATGGCTTTGCACGATGGTGCGAATGAGAGTTGTCACCCGCACACTGTGAAACGAGTTGTACTTGTGTTTTACCCTTTGGAAGTAAGTTATGTGAGCTCATGGGGTTCCATGTGCAGAGGCTATTGTAAATTTAGAGTTCGTTTCTGGCCCGGAAGACTGAGGACACCGCCACGGGCGGATCCCATCGAGTTCATGTATTACTTTTAATCTGTTTTATCATGCCTGTCGAAGTTGGTAGTAATTATGGTTGATTTATCCTCTAATTTACACATTCCACATGAGAGCATTTTAATGTAATTAGTATTTCATTACAACCTTTTTTTTTGCCGATTTTCGTTTCCAGTGATTTTGCTAAAGATTGTTAAGCCTAGACTTAGGCCTCGTCGAAGGCCTCGAGGCTTGCTAAACCTTCCGTCGTTCTTAATTCATCATATTTTCATCATTCCCATCTGCCGCAAAGACACGGCTCACCGAAAATTTTATGGAAAAAATAAAACAAATCCAACTTCAGAACATTTCTTAAAAGTGGCTAGTTTGACCGATTCCCCGCAGGAAAATTGTTCATTGAGACTGCTGCAGGATGAGATGATTCCCACTTCTCTAAACACTTATCGAAACCTGTTCTCGAATAACAATCGCTCTGGGGTCACGTGAGGTTTTAACTTTATTTCATATTCACTTTCCAGAGGGTGTCGAGGATGAGAATTCTCTCCCCTGAACCACGCATCGCCCCCACCCTCCCGAAGTCTGTTCAGGCATTGCATTGAGATGCAGTAGCGTGCCCAGAAAATCACAATAGGGGGGGGGGGGGGGGGGGTACAAATTGGTAACCCACCCTACATTTATGGCCAAAAACTGTTGAGATGAATTCATGTTCTTAGCGGAACAATTCTTCCCTTCATAATGAACTTAGGAAATGAATATATTTATAGATTTAAAGAGGTGGTTCCAGTCGAGAGATGCGTTGCATTTTCCATCGTTTTATTTTAAATGAATGGAAACGAAAAATCAGTACCATATTACTTGAATAATTGGTGGCAATTTACCTTTAAAAATTAAATGCATGGATAATAATCAGCCGCATCCCTGCATGGATGTGCCCCAACGTCGCCAGGTGAATGTCTTTAATCATCTGATATGTAAAATTATATATAAACTAGTTGAAAACTAGTTGTTTATTATATATGAACTAGGTGTGTAGATACCTACCGTACCTTTGACTTTGACTACTGGATGACGATTGCTGCTATGATGGCAAGATTGTCGAACTCTCTGGAGAAACTACGATGGGAAGCGTTGACGAGGAGCGAATATTTTTTTGGCCCCACCCCATATAAAAGTTTCTTCTTCGCATCAGCGATGTGCCCGGTCGCATTCCCATCAAGCCGCAGAATGCCCATGATTTCATCCCAGAGGCAAGACTTGAAAGAGAAACGCACGAGAAAAATTCGGCCCGGCCCGACCCGACCCCGAAGAAGAAGCTGAGAGATCCCTCGCCCGAAACGACCCGCGGCTCGGGGGTCTGCCGATTGGGCAGATCCGCAGCCTGCGCAGGCTACCAGGTGGATGAAGTGATTTAAGTCGATGGCCGCTTTCGGCGGGTTCCCGGGTTTTTCATGCGATTACGTGTTAATTGAGCACTGTGGCAAGAAGAAGACAGCTCTTGCGGTCTGTGGTGAGAAAGGCTTTGCACGATGGTGTGAATGAGAGGTGTCACCTGCTCGATGAAAAACGAGCCGTACCTGTGATTAACCTTTGGGAAATAACGAGTTACCTGAGCTCGTGGGGTGCCACGTGCAGAGGCTTACTTTTTCGGATTTCCGGTCGAAGAGTGCTAGGCCTATGTAATATGATGGTAATTTTGTGGGAGTCTCAGCAGTTTGTGAAGCGGGAAACATAGCTGGGTTCCCAATTTTTCCTATATTTGAACCAGCCTATTCCAAACGAAGGGCCTATGTTTCGTTATCAGTCCAACATCTGTTCTCTCTGGGTTATAATAATGATAATATTATTTATTGGTATGGAAGATGATTATACAACTGACAGTATCAACAGGGTGGGCCATTCATATCAGGCACATTTACTTTTGATATGAATCAGGTCTGAACTAAGTAAAGCAAGTTGTTATATCAAAGTACAAATATGGGATGTTGTCACACTATCACAGGTCTATGCCTTAAAAATGATTTTCCTTAAATGCTGTCTTCCACAATTGATGCATTCCAGATTTCTGTATTTCTGTATACTGCTAACTAAAAATTAACTGTTGAGTTCTTTGTAGAAATTGTTACCCTCAAACGGGATCCTGCAGGTGCATTCTAATACAAATAATAGTAAGGGTCTTCAAGACTTGGATGCAAGAGAATATCCTTAAAAATTCCATATTGCCAGAAATGCCAAGTTTTACTGTAAAAGTTTCTGTTTTAATCTCCTGCAGAGTGATCTAGTTTGACCTGATTCACTCAAACATGTTTGGAATTAATTTTTTAATGATGAGGGAATGCAGTTATGTGTTAATTTTCTTAGCAAGTTTGTTGGGGTCTGAGGTGCAGCAGAGAGATTCCCTCTTATGATTTTGTACATATTCATGTACTTTGGAGGGTCAAGGTCTCAAGGTCTGTAGCAAAACGTCAGCCCCCTTGTTAATGAGGCTTATTTGATGCAATGTGATTGCTTATCATCAGCTAGACTTACTTGGTGTCTGTGGTGCATTAACTATATTTCTACCAGGTCTTGTGCAATTATAACAAACTTCTAGCTCTCCCCTTGTCACTCTTGTCTTTCCTATCAGTCCTCACTTTGCCTTTCCATTTCTGGTGCAAAAATTCATCTTGCAAGTGTTGCATTTAGCTCAGTCCTGAGAACAATGTAGATACCCTAGAGCAGTGGTTCTTAACCTTCCTTTTTCTCCCATTGAACCTTCATGCATTCAGGGGGTGACACCTCCCAGGTTGAGAACCACTGCCCTAGAGGCAGATGGAATGGTTGTAAAGAATGATGGGAAGTAGGGGAATGAGGTAGGGCTTCTAATTTCATTGCTGTAAGAATCTGAAGCAACTTACCCTACCCTGTGTTTCTGGCTGCACCTATCCCTACTCCAAGCCTAGGTTTGTTTTGCTCCCAGTCAATTCAAGTGGTTAGGTGTAAATTTCAAAACTTGGTTACTGTACTAGCCTTCAGGGGATGTGTTGTTCCTTGCTGAAACCTATACTATTATAAATCAGACTTTTTGTGTGTCTGTCTTATATACATGGCAATGCCTCTGATCTCAGTCTGACCACACTTTGCATGGCTTCCTAGTTTGGTCTGGGGATGGTCATATTCTAGGTGGTGTTTCAAAGTTTGAACACCCAGGAGTACCTTATTTAGTACATATTTAGTACTTATTTGGCCGATTCACTACTGCAGACCCCCCAAAAGGAGTCAACATTTTGGTGAATCATTAAAGTACAATATTGTAGGGGGGCTCCATGTTACTAAATTAAATTTATGGTGCACCTTGCAGTGCAGCAACTAATGTGTAGTAACTAATATGTATTGCTTTTCTTTTGAATTTCAAGTTGACATGGCTGATAAATTGAATGAAGACCCAAGGGGAAATAGACGTGGGAAATGTCTGGAAATCCTGTGTTCCTGCACAGGTTATGTACGTGATGGGGAGCATTTCAGGTGCGGATATTGTGACCACACCCCTACGAAGCATGAAGGTCAACCTCTTTTTTCTTCTAGGTTTCAGTGGCATGGGAATTTTTTTCGCTTTTGGTCATGAGTAGCACAGTTAACCCGTTTTCCTTTCATTTGCCCATATTGCTGAGGTTTATCTATATTTGTGTTCTGTGTGTTAAATGGTTTGAGTTTTCCTATTTCCTGCCTTGTTGCTTGTTTCATCTGATTTTTTTGTGAGAAGGTTCCTGTAGAAAGCTAACTTTTGAAAAAAGACACTCACAGGGTTGTCCATTTTCCTTTCCCTTTAGTGCTTCCTGGGGAAGCTGTTCCTGATGCTGGTCCCCAGTATGCTGTACATGTGCCAAGTCAGGTTTGTCTTCATTTACTTGTCACAAAAGTATGATCTTAAAAAAAGGAAAGTATTATTTCATCAACACATGAACACCATGATGGCCGTAGAATGGTGTTTTTGTCTCCAAGTGTGGGTCCTGTTTCAAAGCCATAAAACTTTTACTGCTAAAGGGTATAAGGTCAGTAACCTTCATGAATCATGCAAAAAAGATTCTCAACAATGGATGACTTGGATTTTGTGTCTGTTTAATGCACTCTTTTGAGAAATTATGGCTTTTCTCAATGGTTTGAGCTAATATTCTGTTTTGCACAAAATTTATTTCTGTAAGGAAGACATTCATATCTCTTCTGGCTAGGGCTCATTCATTTGCATCTTTGTAGCAGGCTTGCATAGTCATTCTACATGGCTTTCGATGGAAATAAAGCAGTGGCACAAATAAAATCTATGCTGGGATGGCTCACTATGGAGCAGATGTGTATGTTACATTTATTGACATCTTCAGATGTGTGGTTTCATGAATCAACTGATGGAATGGTTAGTTTGGATGTAAGGCTAGTGCTTTATCCACAATACATGGGTGTGTGAATTCATTCTGAATATTATTTGTTGATTCAGTGAGAAAGCATGATCACTGAAGTTGCCTCAGCCTATCAAAGTAAAGAACTAATAACCGTTTTCTTCTCATTCCCCACTAGTGCCTGGATGTCTTTTACAGCAAAAGTTGAGTCATAACCTTGTCCCATAAATTATCTTTGATTTATATTTTATTGAAGTTAATTTGATCAAAAACTGAGGAAATATTTTTTTTAGCACAGCATATGTGCATTTTCAAATGGCATTTGGTACAATTTTTGTCTCTCTTCATTTTTCAGAATCTTCCACTCCATGAAGAACCTATGGAGGTTCAGTGATGAAAATTTCCCTTTAATTTGCAAGTGAGAGCCACGAGGCAAACTGCAATTTAACTCATTCCATTTCATTAGTCGGAATGGATTGTCTACCTGTCTTGTGCTCAACTACCCAACCCTTTGACCCTGATGTCATCTCAGCCTGTAACAACCGATATTAAGGATGAAATCTCCTTCATGTGGAGATTGGGACCACTTCCTGTAACCTTTCACTGCTGAGTTTAAATACTCTAGTCTGGTTCTCTGCAGTTTTTTTTTTAGCCCTTTTTATGCCATTATGCTTACACATTGTTAACCCTTTGAGGAGCGTGTTTTCTTAAGCCTTTCAGGAGTATGGACACACTGGTACATTCATACTCCTCAATGGGTTAAATTGCATTTTAGACAAAAACTGCTTGTTATTTGCTCTCACTGAAGTTACCAGATTATCAGGAGGGTTCATATTCTTATTTATGTTAATGTTCAGAGTGCTATTCATGTTGGACATGGACATGTTGGCGTCATGTTGGACAATACGCATGCTCAATATGATGTAACATAAGTCCAGCGTGCTCAGAGAGTGGTGTGTAGAGAGTAGCAGCAGCGCAGTTGTCGGGACGAGAGTCGAGAGTGTGTGGCATCGTGAGTGCAGTTGAGGACTGTCGTAAAGACATGGGACATGTGTTGAACCCTGATCGGGTCGGGTTTGAGTGCTGGAAGTCGCTCACTAACATCCATTCAGGTATTGATCCTTTTGTATGACTTGTCCATCAATCACCTGATGCAATAGATTCCAACACGGTTCCAAATATCCCTATTCTAATTCCTACTGCTATTGATCTCACCCAATACTGGTTATTTCAATAAATGCACTGTCTTTCAAACGAGGAGTCATTGTAACCTCGGACACGCTGGTGGTCCGTTTGTGAGTCATTAATGTCAATTCACGTCGGAGCCACCTACATCAGATCTGGCATCCATTCCAATGGATATTGCATCTTCATTGTGTCTATGGGAATTTCTTGGGATTCTCGTGATTTTGTTTTGCACCCATATTATACTACCTTGGGACACCATTATGCATGGCTCAATTCCATCGGAGGCCTTCTTATACCTGTGAGTTTAGTAATCTTCAGTTATTTAATTAAATCTATATAATATAATATGTGGTATATGTTAAATTTACACGAAGTATAAAAATGATATATAGGACATCGAAATTTAAAATATAATTGTAAAAGAGCTCAAATTTTCAAACAAAGTATATTATTCCAAACCTGGCCTTAATTCAGGTCCGAAAGGGTTAAGATCTCTACAAGAGCTGATCAGAACCTTTGAAAATTTAAAGAAATTGTTGAATTGTGTTTGAAATCGGGTGTGTTTATGGTTGGTTGGTCATCTACTTTCATATCTGGTTAAGGCAAGTGCCCCTGCACAGGGTGCAACTTCAGGGGCACCAAGTTTTGACCAAATGAATGAAGCAAGAGTTTCAAATTCAGAAAAAGTGGAGAAAAAGTGGAAACCCAATCCTGATATTGTGTGTGTGAAGAGGGGGGGGGGGGGGGGGGATTGGGGGGTCTGACCCCAAACCCCTGTTCGTGATGGTATCACTCTTCTTCTCCATCCCCCTCTCCCCCGAGGNGTTTGCACAGGCTGCCGAAATAGCTAGGGCAGG